GCCGCCACCGTGAAGCGAGCATACAGGTCATACAGGTCGGTGCTCCAGGTGCTCTCGCACCTCCCTGCCCCCAGTCCAGTCAGACCTTCGGTGGAGGTGCTGAGGACATTAAGGGGATGGAGGGGGACAGGGCACCTTGCCAGCAGACTAATCTGACCTCTTGGTAGAACCTTGTGCCAAGTGGGCTAGTGCTTGCTGCTGCCGCCCCAGGGTGAGCTCAGCCTGAGTGAGGGGGAAGGTGCTGTGTGCTCCCCAGCGGTGGCCCAGGCCCCTTGGGAGGTTGGTGAGCGGCCCCTTCCCTTGGTCCCCAGAAGCCCTGAGTAAGTGAACTAGTGCTGGTGGCCGAGACCCGCCCCTGGACATGGCAGTACCATGGGTGTGTCTCAAGCTGCCTTCTCTTTCTGCCTGGGCAGGGCCATGGAGGTTAGCCCTGGGGTCTGTCCACCGGACCAGAACTCCAAGTCCAGTTCCAGCAGTTGCTGGTGACCTGCTCTGGATTCTATTAGGTGGGGAGTGCTGTGCACATCTGTCTCTCTCCCACCTTGGGGAGAACTCTTCTGACTTCTGCTTGTCTGTGTGTGGGAGGGGCTGCTCAGGGCTGTAGCCCTGCCTCAGTAAGGTTTCCTCAGGCCACTGGCCCCCCGGGCTGTGGGAGAGGTGTGCTTTGGGCCTGGAGGACGGCAGGCCCATTCAGGCCCCAACGTGGCATTGAGCTTGTGTCCTCAGCCATCTGTGCTTGGCTCTCCCAGGGCTCCCTGGGGCGAGCTGAGGGAGAGGCAGCTGGCCCTCGGTCTGACGAGGCCCCAATACTTACCACCCCACTGACATGCCCCCTGGGCCCTGGGGCCTCTCGTGCAGCAAGACCCTCCTCCCTTGGCCGCTGCAGCTGGCTGGCAAGGGGACAACTTCTCAGGGACAGACGTGCCAGGCTCTGACCCTGCACCCTCTGAAACCCCCACTGGGCCAAGAATAGGGGTCCCCAGAAGGGAACAGGGGGAGGATCGGCACTTCCCTGCCTGTGGGCCTCTGTGGGAAGCTTGCCCCTTTGTCTTCTCGCTGCCCTGTCTCTCCGTGTCAGTCAGATCCTCAGTGTTTGACAGGGCTCGCTGTGTGTTGTGATTTGAGGCCGAATCATTTGGGGCTGAGATTTTAATTAGCTTCAGGCCTTGCTCCAGCAGGGGGCCAGGGGCTCTGAGGGGTGAGAGGCTGGTGGTGGTGACTGGCTCGAGTCCAGGGCTGGCCCCGCAGAGGCCTGGGGACAGGCTCGGGCAGGCGGCAGGCACTCCTTGTGTGGGGCGCTGTGAGGAGGGAGGGATGAGTGGGAAGGAAGGGTTCTGTAGCCGGGCCACAGTCTTCTCTCCCTCCTCTGTCTCCCCCGTTCCTCTGTTCTCCCCGGTGGCTTTGAGATGAAGGCGATGGCAAGGATGGAGGATGCAGTTTCCATGGCAACGGGGCTGTCCACAGCCAGGCAACTTCAGACCTGGGCTCTCCGGAGGAGGCAGATGCGCAGAGCAGCCGCAGAGCTGCCGCCTGCCTGCCAACAAGGGGGCTGGCAGAGCAGGTGGCACAGGGTGGCTGCCTAGCACTACCCACCCTTATGCCTGGCCTCGAGAAGGGGGCGGAAAGAGCGCTACTCCCTCTTATCCTGCTACTGCCAAGTTCATCCAGAATGGAAGCTGGGAGCACTGAGGCATCGGCGGTGGCGGCTAGGGTAGAGTCCTCCTTGTCCCCAAGCTCTACGGACAGACACAGGCTCTGGTTCCTGAGAACCAGCCATCTCCAGTCCTTGAATGGTGGGCTACTGGGAGATCAACAGCCAGCCTCTTACCTGCTTCCGACCCTTTGACCCCTTTGGATGTTGCCGGAAGATTTGTCCCGATGGGACCTGGGAGGCCTCTTGTTCCCCCCAAACACCAAGAAAGGCCCTGGAGGACTTCCAGGATGCTCCTGTCTCTGCTTGCTGACCGGAGCTCAGCAAACACACTCACCGCCACCCTGTCAGTTCCGGCTCATAGCAGTCCTGGAGGACAGGGTCAGGAGTCCGTGGGCTTTGAAGAGTGTTTGCCGGAGTAGAAAGCTGTCTCCCCCAGAGTGGCTGGTGGTGTCAGAGTGCTGACACATGACGGCCACCCCACGAACCAGCCGACCAACCAAGCAGACCCACACTCGCTGCCATCGCGGCCCTGATTCATAGGCCTGCCCTGGGTGTTTCCAAGACTTGACTTTCTCTCCCAAGGAGCAGCTGGTGGGTTCAGGCTTCTGACCTTGTGAATTGCAGCCCCACACTTACGCGTTACCCCACCGAGGCCTCTTAAATGGCACTGCCCACACTCCAAACTCACTGCCCTTGGTCAGTGCGACCCAGAGCCACTCCATCCGCAGGCTGGAACGGCCCCTGTGAGTTTCTGAGACGAACTCTTTTTTTATTTCTTTCCAGTCTGACAGCCTTACATCATTTACTGTTAAACTCTCAGTGAGGAAGCATTAAAAACCAAGGAAGAAACCAGATGATTTGCCAATACAAGTTCAATTGATCAGACGGTGGCAAAAGTCTTAATTTTGTCAGCATGACAAAATGCCCCGCTAGTGAGCCGGGGCAGCTGTGTGCCAGCCCTCGGGGCTCCTCACAGACCCAGCTTGGCTCTTGTCCGATGCCGAGATGAACTCTTTACAGGAGCAGGAAGTCCTGCCTTTCTCCGAGGAGTGGCTGGTGGTTTCTCACTGCTGGCCTTGTGGATCACAGCCCACCCCTATCCACCACACCAGCTGGCCCCCAAATACACACCCTGCTGGGAAAAGGCAAGGCCGCCATTGGTGTGTTTGGGGCTGCTGGCCCTTCCCCAAGGCTAGGAAGTGCTGCCAAGATAGTATCTTTCAGGCCCTCCTTCTACCGCCCACAAGCTGCCCCTAGTGGCCCGGGGACACTCACGAGACAGGCCCCAGAGCACCTGGACTGCCAAAGCCCTGTCCTTCCGTGGGGTCTAACTAGGAAGATTCAAGCAGAGCATGGAGTTCATGTTGGTGGCAGAGGAGACCCCGGGAAAGGAGGGTGAGACGGCCGCCCGACTCGGAATGCCCTCCGGGCCCAGAGTGGTGCGTGCCCACTGTGTAAATTCTCAACGGCAAAAACAGCACGCGTTATTAAAAGGATGTAATGTTCATCACTTCCGTCACTGGGAGCCCTGCTAGGGTAGTGGTTACGTGCTGGGCTGTGAGCCACATGGTCGGCAGTTCAAAACCACCAGCAGTTCCACTGGAGAAGGACAGGGCTTTCTACTTCTCTGAACAGTTAGTCTCAGAAACCACAGGGGTCAGGACTTCCTATTCCCGTGGAACCCACTGGGGGCGCTGTGAGTCGGCACCGACTCCCTGGTGGTGGGTTTGCCCCTGACGCTGGAGGCATGGGGAGAAGGACACCGGCCGGCCGCAGTGAGGACAAGCTGATGTTGATGGAAGGCCTTGTCTTGCGCCCCCGCCCCCCCACGAGCTTAGTGACCGAGCTGCCGCTGGACCTTGGGCTAGGCCCTCTGCCCGCTAGCTGCCTGGACAGGCCCTCACTGCAGGCACGTCTTCGTTGTTTCTGATGGTGTGGTCAGCTTAATCTGGGCTGCTCACCCGCAGGCTGGTGGTGGCTCGACCCGCCCGCTGCTCCTCCGGAGAAAGAGGAAGCTCTACCGGTGCAGAGATGTGAGCCTGGTAAACCCAAAGGGCCATGCCTGCTCTGTCCTGTAGGTTCACTTGTCAGAGGCAGCTCGATGGCAGGGGATTAGCTTTTTATTTTTAGGCTTTGCCTCCTTCCATCTGAGGGGCTGCTCAGCTCGGGTCCGGCCGGTGGGCCAACCAGCGGAGCCCTGAAGCGGCTGCTCCCGCTAGGCGCCAAGCCTCTTGTTGCTGCCAAGTGGAAGGCTCATTTCGGAGCTCCTGGTGAGAGCCGGTGGGTGCTATAAATAGCTGTGTTGTGAAGGTTGGCGGGTGAGCAGCGAACAGTGACAGGGCAGGGGCTGCACAGTCATCTCAGTGGGTAATTGCGTTCCGTTGCAGCGGAGGGGGTGGGCTCTGCAAGCAGACTCTGGACCCCGCTCTCGTGGCTCTAGCTTGCCCCGGGGCAGTGCTGGCGTGTGGGTGTCCATGCCCAGGGACCCACCATGCCCGTCTCAGGACGTGAGGGCTTCCATAGAGGCCGGCTGCTGTTGCGGTCACCGGGGATCAGGGCTGTGCCCACTGCCAGGTCTGCCTCTCACCCCAGGGTTGGCCTCCTGCACCACAGCCTCTACATCCACAGCTGAGGCTGCGGAAGCTCGGCCCAGGTGCACGGAGCAGGAGGGCCGCCACGTCTTGCAGCCTCAGACATGGTCCAGGTTCTGGGAGTGGTGGTGGTGGTACCTCTGCAGGGGCAGAGTTCAGGGGCCTGGCTGTGAATCCACATTGTCCAGGGTAGAGAGATGGTCAGAGGCGGGCCCCTGGGAGAGCACCCTCACTGGTCACACCCTGCTTTGGCGAGACACCTCGGGTTATAGCCTTAATGGGTCCCTCTTCCGATTCCAGACTTAACCGCTGGGAGACTGGTGCTTTGTGGAGCCACCTTTTGGCCCCAGATGGAGGCTCAGGGTTCTGGGTTCACATTTGCGCTGGGACCTTGTCCCAAGGGCTCCTGGGTCCTCAGACCACTTCTGGCAGGGTGGGGCCCCCGTGTATTTCCTCAGCAGGGTTTGGACGTAGGGGAGTTGGGGCAGAATGAGGAGCTAGTCCTCCAGGAGGGAGGAAGCTGTGACCAGTTTTGGGGGTCACCCAGGTAAAGTGAGGCAGGTCCCTGCAGAGTTGATTCCCCTCCACCTCCCCAGGAACGGAAGCTGTGTGCACACCCGTGGATGGAGATCTACCAGCAAGACCAGATCCATTTTATGTGCCCCCTGGCGCGGCAGGGGGACTTCTACGTGCCTGAGGTGAAGGAGACCGAGCGAAAGAGCCGGGGGCCTGTGGAGGCTAATAATACCACCCCGATGGACGGCACAGGTACAGGGCCCGGGGGCAGAGGTGGGCAGGGCTGAGGACGCCCCACTCCTGCTCTGGGTGGGCACCATGGGAGTCCAGGTGGTGCTGGGCAGAGCCTGGGGACCCACCCGGGGACTCACGTATGCAGACCTGTGGGCCCAGGTGGATGTGGGCTGGCACATGGATAGAAAGCCCCCACCCAGGCTCCCTTCATATACAGCAGGGCCCCATTGAGACCCAGGTCACAGCAGGGCCCGAGGGGGTGGGCTCTCCAGGAAGTAGAATCGGCGCTGGGTCTGGAAGGTGAGAAGATGAGAGACTGTGTCAGCCAGGGCCAGCTGCTGAGCACGCGTGCTGACCCTCAGGGATCAAACCTGTGCTACCAGCGGGAAACCTGACGAGCCAGGATGCACACGCAGGCCTGTCTGCTCTCAGCCCACCTGCCTGCCATCGCCGTGACCCCTGTGACCTCTGGCTGCCCCCAGGTACGGGGAGCCTGCTGCTGACATCCACAGTGGTCCTGGGGTCAGACCTTGGCTATCCATGGAAGTCAGTGATCTCTGGGAGTGGTGAGGCCTGGGACAGACTGCCTGCCCATCCATCCCTGAGCAGCCAAGGTCAACCCCGAGAGAGGCCTGCACTGGCCAGGGCAGGAAGTGCTCCCCGGGGCTGTGTCCAATGGAGTTAGCTTCATCTGCTACTTAATTACCTCCATGGGGCTGACCGGCAGACACTCCCCAGTGCCCCTACTGTGGACACAGAACATGGCACGAGGTTGGCAGGCCCAGACAGTCCCCAGGGCAAGAAGTGGAAGAGGCTTGACCTTCCTATGACCTCTGTTGGCTGCCTGCCACCCGCTCCTCGGCCCACCCACCCACCCACCCAGCTTCCTTCCCTCCAAACACTGCCTGCCAGGGGTGTTGAAGGACTGCTTGACACCCACTGCAGCTGGCTGCAGCCACAGCTCCCCACGCCCCCAGCTCCTCGGCCTGTCCTCCCCACCCGCCTGCCCGCCCATTCCCTGCCGTGGGGGCCCTAGAGGTCTGCCCACCTGACAGGCTGTGCTGCCACCTGGAGCGGCTTGGGTGTCTGCCCACCAGGTGCATGCCACTTGCATGGCAGCATGCAGTGTGTGCCCGGCCTGCCCCGGCTCGGCCTGCCGCTGCCTGCCTCCCCGCTGGGGCCCCACTGGGCTGGGAGGTGAAAGGGGTGATTAGCTGCCTTGCGCCTGCTCTTGCACTGATGTATCATTTAGCTCCAGAGAGGCGACGAAGACTGGATCTCCTTGGGTGGCTATGGGCACAGGGGAAGGAAGGACCAGCGTGACGGTGGCAGCATCCCCACCCAAGCAGCTCTGGGCATTGCGGTGTGATCTGCCTTGCCCAGCATCCTGAGGCCATGCTCCCGGGCAGGCTGAGGGGGGCTGAAGGGATGGGTGCTGCTTCCCTGTCTGGGACGCCTTTGCAGAGGGTCCTTGGGAGGCATCCTCGCTAGCAGGGCACAGGCCTGCATGGGGTGGCCCTGCCCTGGCTCAGCAGCGAGGGTGGAGGAGGTAGCTGGCAGGTTCTGTGCTGGGAGCCTCCAGAGAGCCAGTGGGCAGGTGGGCAGGCAGGCAGGCGGGACACGGTAGTCTGCTGGGCCAGGAGAGCGGTGCCCCTTTCCCTTTTCAGGTCTGCCGTCCTCGGGTCCTGGGTTTGCAGTAAGGACAGGAGTGAGGGCTCAGTCTGGGTCTCTGTATACATGCCTCCTCCGCCCCCTCCATGCCCCAGAGCCTTTCTCCGGGTCCCAGCAAGAGGAGGGCCCTGAACCAGCAGCTTGGAACTTGAGCGCTCCCAACGCTTCTGCCGGTGGATCTCTGAGAGGATCCTCTCGGGACCAGAGGGACAGATCCCAAGTTCTTTCACCCCTACCTCAAGCCCCAGAGGGGACTCAAGGAAAGCTTATGCCCCAGCTGTGCCTGGTCCAGGCTCCGTTGCCAT